TCTATCTATCTATCTATCTATCTATCTATCTTTCTCTCGTGCATCGAAAAACAGAAGTTGCACGAGTAGTTGCAGAAGAATGGGACCGTCTACATGGCCGTCGTCGCCGAGTTCTCGATTCGCTGGAAAGTGCGCAGAACGGTGAAAACTAGAGCAAAAAATTACGAGAGAAAAAACACAGAGAGTGAGAGAGAGAGAGAGAAATAGAGAAAGATGGTGAACGAAGGTAGTAGTGACGATATCCGTGAAAATGGTTTGAAAATAAGGGGCTGAAAGAGAGCCATGTACACGCGTCGCAACCTGGCTAAGCGGCCGTCGCGAGAACGAGATAGTCGTCGCGTCTTTTTCCTTTTGCGAAACAGGAGCGAGAGGAAACGGTTTGGTCGGCCAGAGTAGAGCTACAAGTGGTGATAAACGAGGCCGAATCCTCGTTATTGCCCGTTGGGGAAGCCTCGAAAATTCCTGCGGAATTTAACCAGCTGACTCCGGCCTGAACTTCCCCCTCCCCCTACCCCATCTGCTTTTATTATCGTTTCTCGTTCCGTGAATACGGCTTCACAAAATGCACGTGTTGACGCGTTCACGCGTCCCGATGTTTGTATCGATGTTTCAACGAAGAACCGAATTGAACGGCACAATTTGATCAAAGTTCCCCTTCACATGCAGAAACGCGTCGTCTTGAATTACACGAACATCATTGCTGAAGCAATTCTGTTCTTCCGTGTATAATGAATCGATCTCAAGGCAGAGTGAAGAATAGATTGTTCGGATGTCCGTTTTTTTCATTTCTTTCGCCGCGTTCCACGACGAAAGACAGAAATATATCTAGAATGAAAGTAATTTATCATTACTTGAAAATCAATTACAAGAGATCGACTTGACAAACACGTCCGTGTTCTGTTCTCGAAATGGTACATTGCTCCGGCTCCGGCTGTTGAGAGTATTTTCAGCGAACTACATATATTGTGCTGAAAGGAAACGCCTAGCATCCTAGATGGTCGCTCCGCTCCTAGTATAGAGTATACTTGTTCCAAAGGAGGACAAGAAGAGAAGCGGTGATCGCGCAAAACCGTTCACCGCGCTGGCGAATTTCACTCGCCGGTTCTTTCTCCGAGAAATCTCCTCGGTCCTATGACGGAAAATGAAACTCGATATTGTAATTCCACGCGCTTGTGTAACACGACCTGTCGTTGGAAACGTCGAGAACGACGTGTGCGTCGCCCTTTTTCAAACCCGACGCTGCTGCACTTCGTGAAATGAATTTAAAGCGTGGGCGTCACGATGACGCGAACGTGAACACACCGCGATATTAAAACACAAAACGGCTGAATGTCAGACTGAAATTCACTAGAAAGCGTTGCCTGTGTTTTATACAGGATACAAACACCTAATAATAACGTGACGGTACCCCGTGTGTGTTCGTTTAAATTGGACGCGTGAACGCCAAATATGAAATTAACTGTATCCCAAGTTATCCTTCCGCCGAGTCGAGCGTCGAAAACGAACTCGACTCGGATTAGCTTACTCGACGACGTAACCCAGCAGCCTGATAATTTCTCACTCAACCTACGAAAACCGTTTGAGATGTTCTCGCCCTTTTCCTTCCTTGCCTCTTTAGTCTCTTTTCATCCGTCTCTTTCAACCGCACGCTGTTCGTTTGCTCGTTCGTTTGCACGCCAATCCGACTTGTCTGCTTGTTCATTCGTTATTCCGTGAATAAATAATTGAACGAACATGCGCGTGCGAAAGCATGATGAAAATTTCAATCGATGGCTTTCCGTCCGTTCACTGCTGCAAAATTATTCATTGATCTCTTTTTCGCAGTCCAGTCTATTTCACTATTTCACACTCCCTTCATCCATCTCTCTTACCTTCCATCTCTTTCGTCTGTTCCTGTCTCTCCCTGTGGGCAGCGGCTGCGACTCCTGCGACAAGCAATCCTCTGCTCGCGCAGCTTTCATATTAGCCTACTCCGAAACCTCGTTTCGTCTCACCTCGCGCATTTTTCCCTCGCTAATGCGCGTTACAGCACCTGTTCCGCGATTGTAAAACATAGTAGGTAGACACACATCCGTGTTTCTTTCAACGGCAACACAGTTGAAGAGAAATGGGCAATGGCCTGTGAATCTCCGCTGCTAGTGCCTAATCTAAGTCAACAGAATTGAATGTGCAATCGAGTTGGGACGGTATGACTATAGTGTCAAGATCAAATGTATTCCAAGTGGTACTGAAATTTGATGGAATAGATTCGAAGTAAATAGCAATGACTCTACGTTTAGTAGCTTCTGCAAGAATTTCTACGATTAATATTCCATGTTGAAACGAAGCCACACACGCGACACGTGCTACAATAAATTTCGTCTTATTTATAATGTTTCTTACCGATGAAAACCCCTCCTCCCCCTTCTGAAGCTACTGCCATGACAAAGTACAGCAGCGTTTTGTTTACTAGAAGTAATTTCCAGAAGCTGCGCCGTGCTCGAAAGAAACATCTAGCATCTTACTCAGCTTCCTTCTTGCTCTCGAGACGAAACAAACGAGGATAGATGAACGAAACGTTGCCTATTATAATAAACATGATATTTGTAATAAGATTTCCTAAGATTTGTACATGCAAATCCTCTGCTTAATAATTAAATTCTAAACTTCATAGCAACGTTTCATAAATAATTCAGTTTCCTCGCGTTGGGGCATGTCAAGTTCTTTAACATTCATAATCACTCATTGAACTTGACCTCTAAGCAATTACATTCTCAAAGAACAACTTAGACTTCAACAGAGAAGTTATTTATTCCAACGCGGGGAAATATCTTCTAAAAGATTATCTTTTCTGCTTCTCGTTATTATCATATACGTACGAGTATATACGAGATAGAGGCAGGTTCAAATGGTTCTCAGAGTCCGAGATATATCGTGTCTTCGCTACGCAACTAGATCCCTGTTTTTTTCTTTAATAGCTAGCTAAGCAAGCCTATGTAACTAGTCCGCGTGTATGTATACGCGGTTGTACGGGAAGAGGCATGTAAATAAACGATTTCAAGTAACACTAGGCTACACTAGCCGTTGCTGCTAAATTATACCGCGAATCGATCATGCTTTTGTTGCGTATTACAACGGTGAATCCGGGAACGAGAGAGATCGAACGCAGGCCAGGAAGTAATAGACGAATGATAGAGTTGAGCGCGGGGAATTTTTATGGGTAAATCGATGTTGCATGCGGAAAGGGCAAGGCAGCGTGAGAGGGGAAAATCAGGAGAACTCGTAGAGGGGCATAGAGA